TACTGCAACTGCTACTACTACTACTACTACCACCACAACTACTACTACTACTACTGCTGCTGCTGCTGCTGCTGCTGCTACTACTACTACTACGACGACGACGACGACGACTGCCATTAATTGCCACTAACACCACCACTACTGCTACATGCCCAGGATATCTCGTGGCGCTTCGCCCCCGCGTCCTCTGCTGGATCTTTTCCTGCTTCTTCTCTTCTGTCCTCTCGTGCATCGCCTCCCCGTGCAATTTGGAGCTGTGGGTTTGCGGCTTGTCAGGCTGTAGTTTAAGGGACCTCGAACTAACTCATTCTTGTTCATGTGTGAACAGCCGCCTGTACAAGACCATCGTTGGCCTTGAACAAGTTGTGGAGATTGCCATCCAAGTTGGGGGGTAAGGCTTAGTTTTCATGACCCGCTCGGGGACATCCCGGCAAGGAGAAAGTTCCAGCCTGAAGCCACATCCTCGGCTGCGTGGTGCAGACAGCGCACACAGACCGGTTCCCAAAGCCTGAAACTGCAAAGATTCGCCACTAAGCCTTAAAGCCCTAACGGGCTGCCAAGCCGCTTGTAGGCTTCATCCGTCTCTTGCAAGGCTCTTTGGCCCTTTTCCACCTGTGTGGCTTCAACTCGTGTGAGGTTTTCTCTGAAACTTCGGAGCTTGAGCTCCCTGCCTTCTCCATGATCTCCTTGGGCTTCGCACACACACACACACGCGCACTCAGAGATTGGGCTTCGGAAGTTTAGGCCAAAGCAATCCGGAGATTCGGGTTTGAAAGTTAGAGGGGCTCAGGGTTGGAAAGGCCAAGGCGCATCCTGCACGCTTCGCTTGCCGGCGTAGCTGTCAGAGGGAAGCTTGAACACAGACTTGACCTGTGAGGGCAGTTGCAGAGAGAGCGCCCAAGGCCGCGCCAATTCCGAGGCAGCGGCATCGTCCTTGAACTTCCTCAAATTGGCCCAGTACCTTGGGATCGGAGGCCAGGCCGAATGCTTCGAGATGCAAGATGATGCAATGCAAGGCACCCGAAGCCCTAAACCCAGTAAACCAAGGATGCGCTGTGCCACAAGCCCAGTGTCATGTTTCTGACTGCTGAACCGAAGCCCGGCGTGAGAATGGAACAGACATGAAGCATGGAAGTCTTATGGTACTCATGATAAGTAACAATAAAAATGCTAATAATACCAATGAATATAAATAATACTCATGATAATGAGAGTAAGTGTTCGTGACACTCTGCGTGAGTGTCCGAGTGTCTATGGGAGGATACTTAACATTACTCGTGCCGGGGCCTCCCCAGAGAGAGTACCATACCCCTTTCACCAGGAGCCATCCTTAAGATGATCCACTGTAAGCTATGCTCTACTCTACTCTGCTTTAATTTCAATGACACATGACATGTCCAGTGGGGGATGCCAAGGTGCTCCTTCTCAGCTTGCCGGTCCTTTTCCCGGGCCGCGCCTGCCCTCGCCTGCGAACGATTCAGCTCCAACAGGACCAGCCAAGAAACGCTTGAGGGTTTTTTTTTGGAGCACCTTTTTCCATCTTGCCAATCCAGCTAAACGGAATCAAGCGTTTAGGGTTTAGGGTTTTGCGTATCGGGTCGCTTTCGAGCGATGTCAGGAAGGGATCTCCCAGCGAGGCACTCCCTTTACCAAGAACCTCTCTGGGATCAACAGCTTGGCTGAGGCGGGAGCTGCAACGTACTCCTCCGCGCTCTTCAGGCCCGGGTATCTCATCGGTGGGAGATCAGGGTCTTAGGGGATCGCGGCACAGGGTTCTTTGGCTCAGTTCCACATACTGAAAGAAGGCCATCTGTGGAAATAATGTCTCGTCAGCAGATACGAACACCACAACGAGCAGCATCAGCATCCTGATACAACGAAGCATCGCTTATGTTAAATAAATTTCCGCTCACAGATTATGCTTGCAAGCAACAGCGTTCGTACAAGTGATACGACACGACTATACACGACTTATCTAGTGGGATAGTCTCGGAATAGCGACATAAAAATCAGTCAGCATTGCAGCCATCTTTGTTGCCAGCTGCATGGGAGCTGAGTCCAAAGCTTGTCCACAGCTGCCAGCACTCTGCGCCGGATGTCGACCGAACTCAGCACAGAGCATCCATCTAAGCTACGATCTCTGTGTGTAAGATCTTCAAGCGCAGATTGCCAAAGGCAACCTTCTAAACCCTCTCGCCGAACGGCACGATGTGACCACTGGGACAAGGCTTTGTTTGTAGCTTGGGTGTAGCATGGCAGGCCAGCTGAAGCCATGCAGGAGGTGGGCACTGAGTCAGATCTGGTTGGAAACAACCGAGAGCCTGGGCCATATGAAATAAACTCCACTCGAAACCCCCAAAATGCCCAAAACCCCCAAACCCTGGCACAGATCTTAGAAGACCAAGGCCGAGAGCTTGGCTGCGACTGCTTCAGAGAGGACAACGACTGGCTCTTGACGATGGTCGGAGGCTTCGATGGTGGGCGCGCTGGTCCTGGCCGGAACCGAGATGAGGACAAGACAAACCTGAAGGAGTACATGAATATGTAGGCACATATATGTATGTATACATGATGTAACAACCTAACAGTACAGCCACCTACATACGTATGTGTGTATGTGTATATGTGTGTATGTATGTATGTATGTATGTATGTATGTATGTATGTATGTCTTTACATACATATAAAAACATACACATATATATATATATACATATATATATATGCATATCATACAAATACCTATGTATGTACATATGTATATATATATATGTATATAAACAAAGAGAGGGTTTTACTCACTATATGTTACAATATACAAAAGCTAAACCAAGCTATGTGCATACGCCTGAGCGTTTTTGTGGTTGCGCCCCGGCGACCCCCCCATTGGGGGGGGGGGGCGGCGCAGAACGCACAGCGCACAACCATATATACATACCAATACATGTATATAGATAAGTACACATATTCTCTCTATATATATAATATATGTGTGTGTGTGTGTATGCGTGTTTATACATATATATATGTGTACATACATAGATTTGTTTGTGTATGTATATGTATACACACATACATACATGCATGCATGCATGCATGCATGCATGCATGCATGCATGCATGCATGCATGCATGCATACATACATACATACATACATACACATATGATCTAGCCAAATGTACTATCATACTAACTCTACATCTAACATATATTGGACAGTGGGTAAGCATTCATTCAATCCAAGAAAAATGAAAGCCCGAGCCTGGCCTCGGCTGAGGGTCCTCTCGTGCGCAGCTGCCATGAGCACGGGCGCCTGGAGAGCTCATCGGCTTAGCTTTTTTAGGGTTTTGGGGCTTTTGGGGCTTGGGGTTGAGGTATCAGGGTTCTGGGGTCAGGGTTAGGAAGGCATCACAGCTTATCGTCACTCAGGCTGAAACTCCTAGCAGTATCCACAAACCGTCTCGACAACATGTCCAGCTTCTGCGTGCTTGCAGTCAGACCAAACCAGCGCTCTCCTAATGCAACGATGGATTGGTCTCAAACTGATACCGCTGACGCATGGTGCAGCTCTGTTACCCTTCTGCCCAGCCTCTGCCGACGATAGGCAGGGCAAGCGGAACAAGAGCGGTGGTGTTTACTTCCCTTTACTCATGTTTGAAGATGCTTGAGTATCGTCTGTTGTTGAAGGTCGACGCTTGCAGAAGGCACGGTGCTGCATGTGCATGAATAAGCACAGGGTCCATTCGCCCTTTCCACAGCAAACAGCTGCTCGGGCTTCCCGCCCTCGGGAAGCGGCGAAAGTTTCGAACAGTGCGACCGGCAACAACAGCATGAAACCCACTACCCGCAGCAGTTTTTTTCAGCCGTCACGATTATGTGTGCATAAGTCATAGTCATAGCAATCGTAATGCATATCTAGGTATTATAGATACTCATGTACACATACATATCGTAATGGAGAGAAAACCCACAAGTAAGATGCAGGGCCTCTACCTGCGAAGGAAGGAGTCGCTAGAAGGATGTGCAGATTCTCGAACTTTTTGATCCAATGTCAGTAGATCTGATGCCTGTCACGATACTTCCCATGTGAGAAGTCGGTTCCGCGCCAGCTGAAGTCCAAGTCAGAGGGGACGAAATGCCCAAACCTCCGAGTCTAGGTTTGAGGGTTTAGGGTTTAGGGTAGGATTGAGGGTTCAGGCCTCATATCACGATGCTAAGATGCGCATGCTACCTAGTCTCATGCTTGTTTTTTGGTTTTCTGCATGTTGAGCTTCAGACCGGTGCTAGGTTTCCACTGAATCAGTCTTAAGCTGATTCGTTCACAGTAATAAATACTACTATTCATCGTCATATTCGTGCTATGATAATACTTTAAAATCACAATACTAGCACATTAGTTATACAAATAAGAAAAAGTAATAGTAGTATTCTGTGCAGGCCCTCTCCGGATGCTGCACTGGCGTAGCATGCGTAGCCCTTCAACCTTTTGCACGGCGTTTTTCTGCTGCAGCAGGTCAGCCCTGCTTGTTGTCGAGAGGTGGCAAGACAAGTGGTCCAGTTCAACACGTGTAATTAGGGAAGACGGGATGTCGCAAAATAGCAGCAGTTGTGAAAGCTCAGCACTTTCGTTTGAATTTGCAGGCAAAGTCGTTGATTACCTGTTGCTGCAGGTTGCTCTGTATCCCTGCCAGTGTTGCCCCTACCGTCGTTGGTGCTGCGACTCATTGTTTTCTATCGGCAGGCCAAGGTGCAAAGAATAGCGCGTGCGGGTGGCGTGGTTGTTTTGCCTCGCCGCGTGCAGCAGGCGCGAGTTGAAGAGCACCACCGATCCCGCAGGAACCATCACATCCACGACGACAGAAGATGCATCTGCAGGGAAGGCTCCCAAGAGCTCAGGGTAATCTGTGACTCGCAACCAGCGTGCGGTCTGAAGCCTTGGGGTTCGGGTTTAGGCCTTGCTCGTTTGCCAACTGAGAGTTTATGATCAGGACCCCGCCTGGTGTCACCCACTCGCCTTGCGCGTGCAATCCGCTTCCGGGCTTGTGCTCGAAGTCGAAGGCGTGAGACCCCGGGACCACTTGAAGGCAGCCATTCTCCTGCCCGTGCGCCGCATCAGTCTTCGAGTTGCCGAAACGATACTCTGCACAATCTACTGTACTAGCTATACGAAACTTGGCTACAGTGTTGCTGCGTCTGCTTGTCAATACGACTCTCTGCATTGTTGCTCAGACGGCGCAGGGGCGTGAGCTCTTTCGCCGGTCTTCAGCTGATGAGTCGGGTTGGCGAAATGCAGTAAGCAGCTGACACTAACCCTAAACCCTATAAGCCCTGAGCCGCCAAACACTATAGTATAGCTGCGCTGTGCACAACCTGGGGCTCCGACGTCGGGGTTGCTGCTTAAGGCTGGCGCAGGAGCTTTATAACTCAACGTTGCGATCCTCGTCCGTGTCTTCAAGGTAGACGCCACAGGAAATTATCCTCTCCGAGGCAGTCCCGAAGTAATGGCAGTCTTGGTGCCAGTCGACAGACACTCCGCCGGGCCACATTGGAAAGAACTTGGTGCCAAAGACGTCCACATGCTCAGGAACCTCCGGACCCAGGAAGCTGTAAAGCCTCGAGCTGGCTGGGGAACAAAAGCACCGCTGCAACCAAACCCGGTGTCAAGAAACGCCGAGACCCAGGCTACCTTCAGTGGTTTGCTACCCTTCCGATGGAAAAAAACGGTTTTGCCTCCACTGCTCCACTACACTTCCGCACTGGTCCTGATGTCTGAAGCTAAGTAGATAAATTTTAAACGGATACATGCATGCAGGTCGCTGTCTATATTTACTTATTTGTGATTGCGTATGTATAAACAGTATAAACACATATATGCTGCAGAAGTACATAATGGGATGCAACCACTATGCCTATGCACGCATAGCGCTTTTGCGGCCACAGGATTTATCCTAAACCCTAAACCCTATAAACCCTATAAGCCCTATAAAGCCTATAAACCCTATAAGCCCTAGAGTGGTGCGAATTCCATCAGGGAACTCCTTGACCTTCGCGACCACTTCCGGGGACCGGAAGACCTGAAGGACTCAAACTGCACTGCTTGGCCTGGGCTTTGAAGGCTCCTGCGGCTTGAAGTAAGATCTGGAAGATGAAGGCCCCAAAGAAGAGTCCATGGGGTACCGGGATTCATGATGCTCCATGAGGTGGGTGCTCAGGATCTCCCACTTCATTGGAGAACAGCGACGCGATCCCAAATCCCTGCCGGGCCCTTTAAACTCTGAACCCGGAAGCCCGAACCCGCTGAAACCCTGATACTCCCCGAAACCTTCAAATCCCAAAGGGTTCTTATATCCAAAAGCTGCCTCCTGCCAAACCCCCCCCCCAAAAAAAAAACCATACCCTTTCGGGCTCGGCCAGGTCCAAAGTTCACCGCACCTCCAGCACTGCACTTGAGGCAAGGGCTGCAGACTGAACCTGCCGAGAGGAAAGGGCCGGTGTTTTTTTCGTTTAAGGCTATGGGGGTAGCTGTACGTTGCTAAAACGATGCTTGAGGGTTACAGCAAAGGTATAGGGGTTACCTTTATGGGTACCATGAGGGCTCTATGACATTGGAAGGGCTACTACAAAGTGCGACACGGACACCATGGGCGGCACTTCGTTCTGTTACAAACGAACACTGAAACGACTCGATCTGGAGGGGAGCCTAAAGAGGGTCTCACCTTTTGCAGGGCTCTAGGGACTCTCGGGATTATTCTGGTAATTACACCTTTTCGAGAAAAGCTTCGGACCTATAGGCTTTGCATGAAGCTTAGTCTTGGGTCGAGGGTTTATAGGGCTTGTGCGCAAAGTACTGTTCGGACAAGTGCCCGAAAGCTCAAAGCTCGAAACTGCCAGAAAGATGCCCTCTTCTTCGAGAAGCTTTCCAGTAGTACAGCAAAAAGCCCTCGAACTATACTACCGTGCTCAACTTGAGCAGTGTCATACCTTTCACGGCCCATTGGGTCCTTGAGGATGCGTCCAGAGACCGTTTTGCCATGCTCGTTCACCGCAAGGACGAAGGCGGCACCGCCAGCATCCACGGCATTCCAGTCCGCCGTCGTCACCGGCGCGTCTTTCCTTTGATTGCTGCGCGCACAACAGGGAAATCCTATCAGAACCCTGAGGCTCCACGGAGTCTAGGCTTAGGCCTTCTAAAAGGGGTTCCTACATAGGTACTTT